AAGAGGGCGCCACCAAATTTGGAGGACACTTTTTTAATTGGCTCAAAGAGAGAAGTGGCCCATCTTGTTATGTACTATCATTGATCTAGGCCTACACAAGTCGGGACCACCATATCCAAGTAGCGCCCATTCTTTAACTTTCCAAATGACCCTGAATTGTAAGAATTTGAATATGTAGATCTACTTCTTCCTTTTCTTATATAATGATTAGATCTAGATTCTAGATCTAAATCTAGATTCTAGATCTAGATTCTAGATCTAATAGCGTTTTTCTCCTGTGTAGATCTAGATTCTAGATCTATCTAGATGTAGATCTAGATTTAGATAGATCTAGATCTAGAATCTAGGTCTATCTAGAATCTAGATCTAGAAATCTAGATCTAGATCTAGATCTAGATATTGGATCAAGTTTTAGATATATCTAGATCTATTTCGAATCTAGATCTAGATCTACATCTAGATCTAGATTTAGAATCTAGATATAGATATAGAATATAGATATAGACCTCTAGATCTATATTATCTAGATTCTAGTACTGGGACTAGCCTGTTAGGCCTTACACCTTTTTGTCTCTACTCCAGCCCTTCGATCTTCTTGATCTAGATTTCTAGATCTAATCTAGGTTTAGGTCTAGATCTAGATCAATTATCTAGATACTTCTTCACAGCACAGACGTCAGTGCAGTCGATTACATTAGTTCGTCCTGTTATACAACCAGTGCCGCGGCAGATCTAGGCCTACGAAACACTGGATGCAATTTAAACTTCATTAGATCTAGATCTAGAATCTAGACTTAGATACATCTAGGCTGGATATCTAGATCTAGATCTAAATCTAGATTAGCGAATATCAATACATGTAATACAGATGTTTCAGAGAGCTCTGGATCGTGGTCTAGATACACATAGATTTCTAGATCTATAGTCTAGAGCATAGATTTAGGTTATGGTGTTTGCTTCTCATTCAATGGGTCCCAGGTTTGAACCTGACAGCGACGGAAATTAATTCTTCTCTAAAATTGTCCCCTTTCACCTCCATCCCTGCTCGTTGTCAGCTTTTCTCTCCACTTTAATCTCCCCCCC